CATATGGGGGCTCCGCCAAAGGTCTCATAGGCGCAGCCCGCATGTGGGCGCCACACCCGTTTCGGCACACCTCTCACACGTTTCGTTGCCTCATAGGGAGTTCTGCCTAAGCTCCTATTTGCGCAGCCCGCATGTGGGCGCCACCCCCGTTTCGACACAAACTTCACGCATCGTGGCCCCATGGTCCCATAGGGAGCTTCGCCTAAGGTCTCATAGGCGCAGCCCGCATGTGGGCGCCACTCCCGTTTCGGCACGCCCCTCACACGTTTCGTGGCCCCACAGGGAGCTCCGCCGAAGGTCCCATTGGCGCAGCTCGCATGTTTCGGCACCCCCTCACACATTTCGTGATCCCATAGGGAGCTCCGCCGAAGGTCCCAGTAGCGCAGCCCGCATGTTTCGGCACACCTCTCACACGTTTCGTGGCCTCATAGGGAGCTCCGCCTAAGGTCCCAGTGGCGCATCCCGCATGTGGGCCCGACCCTCATTTCGGCACCCCCCTCACACGTTTCGTGGCCCCATGGGGAACTCCGCCTAAGGTCCCATCTTGCGCAACCCGCATGTGGGCGCCACCCCCGTTTCGGCACACCCCTCATACGTCTCGTAGCCCCACAGGGAACTCCACCGACGGTCCCAGTGGCGCAGCCCGCAGGTGGGCGCCACCTTTGTGTCGGCACACCCCTCACACGTTTCGTGGCCCCACAGGGAGCTTCACCGAATGCCCCAGCGACACAGCCCGCATGCCTGCGCTGCCCCATCGGGAGTTCCACCTCAGACGGCGCTCACAATTTCGGTACTCAAAATTGCGTATGGTTGGGTTCTCCGCCAGGCTAATTGATGCTTTTTCCCCCAACCGTCTTGTGTTGGGTTCTCGTTTGGAATGTGGCATTGTGGTCGCGTCTCCTTCGCCCGCCCGCCTCCTCTCCTCCTCCTTCCTGCCCCTCTGATCTCCTCTTGCGCTGCTCCCTGGGAGGCTGCGAACTGCGCAACTGTTGCCACTTTCGTGGGCTCCTGGGAGGCACGGCGAAGTGGGGGAGTAAACGGATCCAGCCGAGACCTCGCAGCTCTCTGGGTGATTGCGAAGTGCGCAATTGTCGCTACTTTCGTGGGCTCCTGGGAGGCACGGCGTAGTCGCGGAGTACGCGCACCCAAGCGGGACCTCGCAGCTCCCTGGGTGGCTGTGAACTGCGCAATGGTCGCCATTTCCCTGGGCTCCTGGGAGCCACGGCGGAGTGGCGGAGTACGCGCACCCAGGCGGGACCTCGCAGCTCCTTGGGGGCCTGCGAGCTGCGCAACTGTCGCCACGTTCGTGGGCTCCTGGGAGCACGGCGGAGTCGGGGAGTACACGCACCCAACCGAGACCTCGCAGCTCCCCGGGAGGCCGCGGACTGTGCAAGTGTCGCCATTTTCGTAGGCTCCTGGGAGGCACGGCGGAGCTGGGGAGTACGCGCACCCAGCCGAGACCTCGCAGCTCCCTGGGTGGCTTGGAACTGCGTAGCTGTCCCCATGTTCGTGGGCTCCTGGGAGGTCCAACGGAGACTGGGACCACGCGAACCCAGACGAGACTTCGCTGCTTCCGTGGTGGCTGCGAACTGTACACTTGTCACCACTTTCGTGTGCTCTTGGGAGGACGAGAAGGTGCGGGCGGTTGCTAGCGTCGCGTGACCTCAGCTCGTTCTCGGTCCCCTGAGACGGGGAGCTTCGCTCTTTACACCAGCCACCGCGCCAGCCAGAGGTCCACCACTTGCACACCAGCCGAAGATCCGTCCCACTGCCCTTAGCGGTACACTGACGAGTAGATCCACCTCCGACGCAATCGCCTGGAGTCCGTAGCCTGCCCCGATCAAGATCGTTACTATACAGCGAGGCACGCGATCACGGACCAGTAGACCGAATGCCAGAGGGTGCCGACCGTGACGACGCCCAGGAAGTTGACTGCGCTGCCCAGGATACTTCCACTACTCCAGACTACGTCGCCCCAGGCTAACTCCGGCATACTTGTGGACCATCCTCCAAGTCAACTCATCCGCACACTGCCGAAGCTGAATCACCCGAACATATCCTCATCGTCGTCGTCATCGTGGTGCTGCGGGGGTGTGCGGTCCTTTGCTCGCCCGCGCCTCCTCGGTCTCAGCCAGCCTCCCGAGCCTCCATCCTCAACCTCCTCGACCCTGCGTCTTGGCTCGATCTCCTCCTCCTCCTCCTCCTCCTCCTCCTCGCTCGGGGGCAGCATATGGGTAGGCAGAACCACTCGGCCCTTGCGCGATGCGGGCGCAGCCGCTCCTGACGGCGCCACATGCCCACCCCGCCCGTTGCCGGCAGCCTGCCTGCCTGGCGCGTGCTCGGACTGCCTGGGTAGCACCTCGACCTTCTCTGGCCAGTGCGCGCCTTCCGCAGCAGCCCAGGATCCTCGCCCCTGCCTTCCAGCGAGGCCCTGCAGCTCAGCCTCCTCCACGGCTTCTGCGGCTGAGACTGCCTCATCTCTCGCGGCCAGCGGGAGCGATGGTGTGGCGCTCCCGGTTGGGTCGATCCACCGCCCGAGCCCGGCTGCGGCCGCGAGTCCCAGCCACATTGGGAGGATCGCCATCCCTCTCCTCCCTCCTCTCTCTCCTCCCTCCTCCCTCTCCTCCTTCCTCTCCCTCCTCCCTCCTCTCTCTCCTCCCTCTCCTCCCTTCGCAGGCCTAGAGGTTGACACCAACGCCAATTTCGGCGGTGCGCCTCCACCGAGGGAGGAAGATCCCGATCTCGGTGATGGTGGTAATATTCGGGATTCCTAGGTGGCCGAAATATTACCACCAACACCGGAATTTTGGATCATCTTCCCATTGTGGAGGCAAGCCCCTGTGTTGGTGTTGGTGCCCATTTCCAGGCCTCCAATCCCTCCTCCCTCTCCTCCCTCCTCTCCCTCCTCCCTCCTCCCTCTCCTCCCTCTCCTCCTCCCTCTCCTCCCTCCTCTCTCCTTTCTCTCCTCCCTCCTCCCTCAACACCTGGCGGGCGCCCTCCTCCCTCTCCTCCTCACTTCTGGGGCGCCGCGCCGGCGGCTCTTCCCCAGGCCCCCTGCACGCCACGCCTCCTCCCTGGGGCGCCGCACCTGAGGGAAGGAAAGACCACCCAGACCTCGACAACTGGTGTTTGCTCAACGGCCCCTGGCGTTTACGGAACAGCCCTGCCCTGCTCGATCCCTTCCTTGGGTGCGTTTGCTGAACGGTTTTGCTTGTCGGGGTGCTTGTTATGGGGGTGGATTTTCTGCCCTCTGGCACTGGCGTCCTGGGCCAGCTGGTCCGCCTCGCCGGCTCCCGGCGGCGGCGTGGCCCGCCGGGCCGCCACTTCGGGAGGCGCAGCCTCCCCCTGCGGCCCAGAGGCCCGGAAGAAGGCTTGAGCTCCACAGGGCCGCGGCGCGGGCCTCGGGGAGCCGGCTCCGAGCAGGCCGTGCCAGCTGATTCTGCGGGTGTCACACCACCCCGCCCTCACTGGAGCAAATACGCGCGGCAGAGGTGCGTGATTTCACTCGCGCCACGGGCACGAGGTCCCTGTGTATCGGTCGCAACGTGGCTCGAAAAGGCTTGGGGAACGAGGAGGACAGGGAGGCCTCACCAGCCCCCAGGCACCACCTGCTAAAACCTTACCTTCTCTGCTGTGCTCGAAGTCCCACACCTACCGGCTGTAATTAGTTGGAGGTCCAGTAGGAGCTTCAGTAGGAATTGTGCTACCGCTGTAGTGGTGCAGTGGGAATGTGAATAAGAGCTTCTGTGGTAGGATGTGCACCATACACTGTAGTATGAACTGTAACAAGAGTTGTGACAAAACTTGTGCTAGGGGCGGTCGTAAGATCCGTTGTAGGAGTTGTAGTAGCAGCTGTCGAGGAGCCGTTGTAGGAGTTCTAGCAGGAGCTGCAGTCATAGCTTTAGGAGGAGCTGTCGTAGGGGTAGGAGCTGTGGCGGGAATTATTCCCTTGGTGGCTAATGCTGCAGTAGAAACTACAGTAGGAACTGTGTCAGGGTCTGTAGTATGAGCTGTCGTGAGAACCGTCAGAAGTGTCATATTGGATGTAACATGACTGTAGTATGATATATATATATATAGATAGTATGAACTGTTCAGTGTGTTGTGCTGGAGTAAGAGCTGGAGTGAGAGCTGGACGATTGGCCGTGTGAAAGAACTCTGTTAGGAATTGTAATAACATGTCGTAGAATCGGTAGTCGGGTCTCTCGTAGGAACAGTTCCATTGGATGTAGTGTGACCTGCAATAAGATCTGCACTCGGAGGTGTATTACATGGTGTGGAAACGACTGTCGTAGGAGCTGTGGTGCGCGTTGTAGTGAGAGCTGTGCTTGTTGCTGTAGTAGGATCTGCAGTAGGACCTGTTGTAGGAGTTGTATACAACTGACCGTCATCATGTACCAGTCTGGGAGCACTCGGTCGCCACAGGCGAAGACTCTCTCACTCAGACGCCCACAGACGGAAGTGCCAGGACCTGAGATGCACACGTGGGGATCCCCGCGCCGAGTTTTTGTGGTCGTTTGCGCAAGGTCTGGAGGTCTGGGACCGAGGGGCGGGCTGGAGGCAGGCCCCCCCAGGGACCCCCCCCCAGGGCCCCTGCCAGGGCCCCCCCAGCCCCCCTTCGAGAACCCTACTAATAAAGCCCCTCCTTCCTTCTCCCCCTGCTCCTCCCCCAGATCCGCCGACTTCTACTTCGACGACGACGGCGACGACGGCTTCGACGACGACGACGATGGTTTCGACGACGACGACAGCTTCAACGACGACGACGGTGGGTTCGACGACGACGGCTTCGACGACGACGATGTCTTCTTCTTCGACGACGACGACGACAGCTTCAACGGCGACGAGGTGGTTTCGACGACGACGACGACGGACCACGACGACGACGACGATCACGATGACGACGACCGCGACGACGACCACGACCACGACCACGACGACAACGACAACGACGACGACGACGACCACGACCACGACCACGACGACGACGACGACGCGAGGTCGTCAGCGGCACATGGGTGAACGACTGCTTCGTGTATGTCTCGCAAGCGCAGAGGCTGATCTGCCTCGTGGCTGGCTCTCAGGCCTGTAGTTCGGGGGTGGGGCGACAGGCAGGGAGGACGGAGGGAGGAGGGGGGAGGAAGGAAGAGGGGGAGGAGGAGGAGGAGGAGGAGGAGGAGGAGGAGGAGGAACACGACGGAATTCGAACATAGATAATGGAGGAGGAGAAGGAGGAGGAGGATGAGGAGGAAGAGGAGGAGGAGGACCGGTGTACACCCAAGAGTTATCAACGATGTTGGAGTAAACCCTCCCTCTAAGCTCCCTTTTCATAGTCCCTTTCAACGGTTCGTTTCCATTGATGGAACTGCCTCGTTGGAAGACACCCGTTTGGAGACCCTGAAGCATGCCAAAATATTCGTCTCGGGATCCCAACGCCACGGATCAACCTGATTGTTGCGTCTTGACGATCCTGAATCGTGCCAGAACGCCATTCTTAGGACTTCAACACAGAGAGCCAACGTAACTGTTGCACCCGCATCAGCATGAATCCTTTCAATCTACCATTTCTGGTACGTTGATGATGGGAAGTCGTAAAACTCTAATACTTATTTAAACGAATGTGCGCGGCGCCAAGGCGAGAGCCACATTTTGAAACGGAACCGCCCTCAATCCGTGAATCTCTTGTGTTGCGTCGAATTTTTGCCGCGCTAAGGCGAGAGCCACATTTTGAAAACGACTCGCCCTAAATCCGTGAAGCTCTTGCACATCTTTTAAAACGAATGTGCGCCGCGCTAAGGCGAGAACAACATTTTGAAAACGACCCGCCCTCCATCTGTGAAACAGTTGCCAATTTTTCAGTTCCAGAGTTACAAATGGTGAAGAAGTCTCAGGCGAAATGCCCGGCCCGCCCTAAAAACTGGCCTCGAGGTGCGACAGGGAGAAGTTGTTTATACGGAGAAGGAATGGAGGGGGGGAGATGGGGGAGGAGGAGAAGGATGACGATGAGAAAGAGTGGGAGGAACAGAAAGATGAGGAGGAGGAGCAGGATGATGATGATGATGCGATGATGATACGGCTGATGATTATGCTGTTGATGATGATACTGCTGATGATGCTGCTGCAGATGATGATGCTGATGGTGATCATGATGGTGATGTTGATGGTGGAGATGCTGATAATGGTGGCGGTGATGATGTCGATGCTGATGATCAAGCTGATGATGCTGATGCTGATGACGACCATCATTATGATGACGTTGGTGATCATGATTCGGATCATGATGCTTGGTTGCTTGATTGTTTGATTGCTTGATTGATTGATTGATTGATTGATTGTTCGATTGATTGACGGATCTATCGATTGATTGATTGCTTGGTTGTTGATGATACTGATGGTGCTGATACTGATGATGACGTGCTGACTATGACGATGGACGATGACGACGACGACGGCGATGCTGATGACGATGATGATCCCGCTCTCCAAGGGCAGTCGGAGCCGAAACGCTCGTGCCCACCGCAACTTCTGACTCACCCACGGGGTCATTGGGCCCCCTCCCCAGGGTTTCCGCGCAGACACACCCCAAACTGCATCAGCACATCGAGTCCTCGACCCGCCCCGACGCGATGGCCCACAGCCGTCTCGCACTGCCCAGCGGCCTTGTCGCTGTTGCGGCCATCGCCTCCAATTCGTCGCAGGTAAAGAAGAGCTCGCCTTCCACCAGGGGCTGGGGCACGTCCTCCTCGCCCTCCACATCGAACGACGGCCGCACCACCACCCCGTCGCAGTTCGCAGGCAGGCTGTGGCTGGGGACGTCAGGCTCCAACGCGTCGCCGTCCCGCACTCCGTCGCACGACCTGGCAGCTTCCGCGGCGCGGACGCCCGCGCCCGCGCGCGGGATGGCCGAGTTGGGCTGGGACTCGCACAATTTCCGCGCGGGCGGGGCGCCGCCCTCAGCAGGCCTGCCGTGCGGCTCGAACCCGAGTCTGTCCAGCATGCTGCGGACCCGCACGAACAGGCTCGTCTCGAATACTTTGTAAAGCGCCTCCCAGCTGCGCAGCTGAGCCTCCACCTCCAGGATGTGGCGCATCATGCGGGCGTCCAGCATCACCTCGCTCTGCAACTTCTTGTCGACGTGCTCCTCCACGTCGTCCAGCTCGAACCCGTGGGCCTCGGGCTCCTGCTGCTCGTCCCCCGCGCCGTCCCCCGACACGTGGGCCTCTAGCTCGTTCAGCTTGGCGTCGTCGGCGAGCACATCCTCGACGACCCCGTCCGCGCAATCGTCGGCGTGTGCAGTCGTCTTGGCCTCCTGGCTCGAGAAGCCCAGCTCGGTCAGCAGCACCTCTGCCCGAGCCCACACTGGCGCGTACGGCTGGGCGCCTGACCGCAGTGGCGTCCAGGACGAAGGCGGGTGAAAGGGCGCCGCATCGCGGCGCAGCCCAGGCGCCTGCCGCACTCCTAGCCAGCGCCCCTGGCCGCTGAGCTCCAGCGCGGGCTCCGCGACGCAGACCTCCACCTTGATGTCCAGAGCGACGAGCGGCTCGTGCCTCGCCTTGTCGCCGTCGCTCTTGATCTCCATGCCCCAGTGCACGAAATCCATGTCCACGTCCAGCGTCTTGGCCACCGCGCGCAGCGCATCGCCCAGGCGATGCATGTGGCAGCCAAGTGCTACGTCAGCCCTGTGATGCAGCAGCAGTGCCTTGCCGAGGCACACGAGGCGATCCTCCAGGGTCGCCGCCAGGGCCTGCGGGGGAGCCAGCTCCGCCACAGCCGCAGTGGCTGCAGCCGCCGCCGTGTCTCCGTCCCGCGCCTGGGCACGCTTCCTTCGCAGCCTGCGCGCCAGCGTGGCCGCCGAGCGCCGGGCCCAGGCCTGCCCACCCGGTTGCCCTGCTCTAGGCGCCGCCCCAGGGGGCGCCCGAGGGCCTCCCGCAGCCACCATGCTCGCACCGTACGCCATGGGGGTTTCGAGCCAGGCGTGAGCCAAAATGGCTGATGATGATGATGATGATGATGATGATGATGGTGATGATGATGATGATGATGATGCTGATGATGATGATGATGAGGATGATGATGCGGATGCTGATGCTGATGCTGATTCTGATGCTGCTGCTGATGCTGATGCTGCTGCTGCTGCTGATGATGATGATGATGGTGATGATGATGATGGTGATGGTGAAGATGATGATGCTGATGATGATGATGATGATGATGATGATGATGATGATGATTGTGATGGTGATGGTGATGGTGATGGTGATATTGATGGTGATGGTGATGGTGATGGTGATGCTGCTGCTGTTGATAATGCTGATGATGCTGATGATGCTGATGATGCTGCGGCTGCTGCTGATGATGATGCTGCTGCTGCTCCTGATGATGATGATGCTGATGATGATGATGCTGATGATGATGATGATGATGATGGTGCTGCTGATGATGATGCTGCTGCTGATGATGATGATGAAACTGATGATGAAAATGATGATGCTGCTGATGATGATGATGATGGTGGTGGTGGTGGTGGTGATGATAATGATACTGATGGTGGTGGTGGTGATGATGCTGCTTATGATGATGCTGATGATGATGATGATGATGTTTCTGATTATGATGATGATGATGATGCTGATGATGATGATGGTGATGATGATGATGATGATCATGATGATGATGATGATGAGGATGATGATGATGATGATGATCATGCTGATGCTGGTGAGGATGCTGCTGCTGATGATGATGCTGATTCTGATGCTGCTGCTGATGATGGTTATTATGATTCTGATGATGTTGATGATGATGATGATGATGATGAGGATGATGATGATGATGATGATGATGATGATGATGATGATGATGATGATGATGATGATGATGATGATGATGATGATGATGATGATGATGATGATGATGATGATGATGATGATGATGATGATGATGATGATGATGATGATGATGATGCTGATGATGATGATGATACTAAGGATGCGGCTGATGCTGCTGATGATGTTGATGATGGTGGTGGTGGTGGCGATGGTGGTGATGGTGATGGTCATGGTGATGGTGATAGTGATGGTGGTGGTGGAGGAGGAGGATGAGAGAAGATGATAATGGAGGCAGCTGAGAGAGGAGGATTGAAGAAGGAGGGAGGAGGTAGGAGGGAGGAGGGAGGGGGGAAGACGGGGGAAGGGGGAGGAAGAAGAGGAAGAGTAGGAGGATTAGTTTTTTTGGGGGGTCACGTGTGACCGAACCAGTTAGGGCCCAGGACCCTCAGTCCGACTCATCATCGTCAGAGTCAACTCGAGCAGTTGCGAATGGCTGCTCGATCTCTTCCTGTCGGAGTGCGTTTGCCACACTCCGCAGCACGTCCCCACCTCCATGGGGGGGAGAAGACTTAACAGCGAACGGGCGGCTTCGTCCTTGGCGTCAAACTGCTCGGGACTCGCAGCCACCTGCATGCTTGCCTGCGCCGTCGGACTGGGCTCAGGAGGCTTGGCCACCTGAGCTCCTACCACAGCTGCAAGACTTTGCTATTCCGCGCCACCGCCCACCCCCTCCTCCGCCAGACTAGTAGCTTCTTTCTCGGCAATCCGGACACGCACCGCTGCTAGCCCTTCCAGGGGAGAGGCAGAGGCATGAATAGACTTCGGCCTCGCAATGGCCGCATACTGACGTGCTTCTGAGGGGGACATCGGTCCTTCCTGAGCAGCACAAGCGACCACCCACGGCTCTTTCGGACGCAGTCCTCTCCTCCCACGAGGAAGCGCCGTCGTGCCAGCGTTGCTCCGATCGGCTAACACCCTAATTCTGTATTGTGCGAAATATCCGCGCAGCATGCAGAATAGTAACGGCTTCTCCTGAACGTCGACCTGGGTACTGGCCAATTGGTGGCCATGATCAGGGCATGAGGTCAAGCGCTCCTTCACTAACGCGGGGAAGCCCGAAGAACCCACCTCAGGTCTCTGGGGTGCCTCTCCGCTTAAAAACTTAAGGCAGCTGTGACACCTGTGGCCCCGCAGCCATGGTTCCCACGAGTGCCAGCCATCATCACCACTAGAAGGTTGGACCTTTCCCTCCCGCT